TGGTGAAAAACGACACGGGTTTCAAACGGCTTCATTTATTCTCTAGGAAACATCCAGAACACCAAGTAGCAACAACACCCAGGCAGGACTCACCAGTCCTTTCTTATTACTCACACAAGAGTGCCACCTATTGGTGAGGCGGTGACACTTCACTTTCTAATTACTTTGGGTGTCAAACACCACAGCTCCTCCCCTGTAGTTTTAAAGTCTCCACTTTAACATACAACCCTGTTGCAAACAGCTATACCAAAAAAAAAAACCAATAAACACTTTGGTAACCACACTACTAAGTGCCATGTAAATAAAAAACAAATACATGCAACACTGTCCCTACAAGTCCAGACGGTCAGGAGGACGTACATTTCTGTGAGGCCGTTCCCTGCGTGCAGAACTTACAGGATTACCCAGAGCTCTGTCTGGTGGTACCAAGCCCTGGTTCTCCACAGGCACCTGCTCAACAAGATCAGTATTTGTTAAGTCCTCTCCTGGATCAATGTGGAAATCCCAATGTTCTTCAGTGTCATTTTCAGTCCCTTGTGGAAGTCCATCTTTCCGTTTTGCATCAAGCATTTGGTTTACATGTCTCTTCACATTTTTTCCATTCACCGAGACCAAATATGTGACAGGACCCAAAACCTCAGTGATCACACCATCCAACCACTTCTCGCCTCCCCTGTAGTTTCTCACCAACACACTTTGACCCTCAGAGAAAAACCTCAGTCTTGTAGGAGGAACACTGATAGTCGGCACGTACTGAGATGCGTCCGGTTTCACTAGTGAAAGACGAGTGCGAATCTGTCTCTTTAAAAACAGTTCGGCTGGAGTTTTCTTAGTGGTGGAATGTGGCATATTTCTGTAGCTGTACAAGAAATTAGCAATACAATGTTGCAGCGTCATGCCCCCTACTGCTCTATTCTTTGCTAATGACCTTTTAAAGTTTTGAACCAACCTCTCAGCCAATCCATTTGACGCAGGATGATAAGCTGGGGTTTTAATGTGTTTTACCGCATTCATGGACAGAAACGTTTCAAATTCACTCGATGTGAATTGCGGGCCATTGTCTGATACTAGCTCTTTTACTAAGCCATATGACGCAAAAAGACCCCTCAAAACCTCAATAGTCTTGGCTGTGGTAGTAGACTGCATGTGAATAATTTCCGGCCAGCGGGCATAAGCATCCATTACGACCAGAAACATCTGTTTGTTAACCTCTGCAAAATCAATATGTATTCTTTCCCATGGACTAGAAGCCCATTTCCAAGTATGCACAGGTGCAGTCGCTGGCATGCTACGCTGGTGCTTACAAATGTTACACTGACTTGCCTCATTTTCAATATCTTCATCAAGAGTAGGCCACCAAAATAAACTCCTGGACAGACACTTCATTTTGACCATTCCCCAGTGGCTTTCATGTAACTCAGACAGTAACCTGTTGTGTAGTTTTTCAGGAATAACAACCCGGAAACCCCAATGAACACAATCTTGTTCCACTGTCAAATCAAATTTGCGCTTTACATATGGCTGTAAAGCTTCATCTGGGACATACTTAGGCCAACCTGTTCTCACATAATGCTTTACTTTTGTGAGCACAGGGTCTTTATCAGTTTCTTGTGCAACATCCTTGGCTGTAAGTGGTAAAATGTCTAAATAAGACACTCTGAAGACTGGGTTTGGTTTTGGACAGTTGTCGTCTGCTATGGGCAATCGAGATAATGCGTCCGCATTACCATGTTGTCCTGAAGGTTTATACTGAATCTCATAAGCGTATGCTGCCAATATCAGGGCCCATCTCTGCATCCTAGCTGCAGCTAAAGGTGGTACTCCTGTTTTGGGACCTAAGATCTTCAGTAAAGGTTTATGATCTGTAATCAAGGTAAACCTGCGACCAAACAAGTACTCATGAAACTTCATTACTCCAAATACTAAGCCCAATGCTTCTTTTTCAATTTGTGAGTAGTTCTTTTCCGCTTTAGTGAGCATGCGGGAAGCAAAAGCGATAGGTTTTTCACTACCGTCTGTCATTTTGTGTGAGATCACCGCTCCTATCCCCACTGGTGATGCATCACAAGCCAGTAAAAGTGGCAGGTCTGGGTTGTAGTGAACCAGAATTTTACTTGAGGTAAGCGGCTTTTTCGCTTCCTCAAAAGCCTTCTGACACGAGGCTGACCACTCCCACTTTTCTTCCTTCTGTAACAATACAGTCATTGGTGCAATTATCGTTGAAAGGTTTGGAATGAACTTCCCATAATAACTTAACAATGACAAGAATGATTTCAGCTCTGTTGTCGTGGTGGGCACTGGAGCATTTACAATAGCCTCACACTTATCTGGTAAAGGGTGAATTCCCTCTGCATCAATGACATGTCCTAAGTATGACACACTATGCTGGAAAAATGCACATTTTTCTCTTTTTACCCTGAGGTTGTGATCCTTTAGTCTTTTCAAAACCTCTTCCAAATGCATTATGTGCAACTCTGTGTTATTTCCAGTAATCAGGATATCATCTAAATAACAGATGACCCCATCAATACCCTGCAGTACTTGATCCATTAACTTTTGAAATATTGCAGGTGCACAAGCTACACCATACGGAAGTCTATTCACTTGGTATAGCCCCTTATGTGTATTTATCGTTAGATATGGTTTAGAACCGTCATCTAACTCCACCTGTTGATAAGCTTGTGACAAATCCAGTTTAGTAAATCTTTCACCACCTGCTAGTTTAGTGAATAAATCCTGTGGTTTGGGTATCGGGTACTGATCTACCTCAAGCCATGGGTTGATTGACACTTTATAGTCACCACATATCCTTACAGTTTGATCCGTTTTTGGAATATTGACTGTAGGTGCAGCCCATTCACTATAATTTACAGGTGTTATTACCCCATCAGCTTCCATCTTATTTAGCTGATTTTCGACTGCCTCTCTGAGTGCATAAGGCACCGACCGTGGCTTACAAAACTTTGGAATGGCACCTGGCACCACATGTAGCTTTGCTTTAATCCCTTTCACTTTCCCAAGACTAGGTTGAAATACGTCTGTATATTTTTCACATAGTTCCTGAAAACTTTCTGATGCCACTCTGTTCACAGAAGACCAATCCAGTTTTAAACTTTGAATCCAGTCTCTTCCCAATAAGGCTGGACCATTACCTTGGACCACAAGTAGTTTAAGTGCCTGAGTTACTCCATTACATTTAACTGAAACTGAAATACTCCCTCTTAGCCTCAGAGACTGTTTACTGTAGGTTTTTAACACACAGTTAGAAGGCACTAGTTTGAGCTTTTTGAATCTCCGCTTATACAGACTCTCTGAAATCACAGACACCGCTGCCCCGGTATCTACTTCCATTTTCAACCTTTTATCATTTACCCTTATGTAAACATAATATGGTTTCACAATGTCTGTATCACTGTCAGAGTTCACGTCCTCACCCGCAGTTTTCATGGAGAACAGCTCCAGGTCACTGATGTTACCTGCCTGGTACTCCGAGACAAAACCTGGCTTGGTTTTAACCTCCACTCTCTCTTGAGCGGGCTGTGGCTCCGCAGATGCAGCTTGAGTTTCCTTCTCTGAAGTGTAGAGGACAGCAGGCTGTTTCTCCGGTGGTCTGGTCCTCCCGGTGCAGATATTGCTCCTGCCTTCCTCACGACGGCTGTCTTTCGGAGGGTCCCTGGCGTCCAGATGCTTTGTCCACTTGGTCTGCTTGTCCTTTCTTTCTTCGTATTGGGACCTGCAGGCTTTAGCGATGTGCCCTTTCTTCTTACACACTCGACACTCCACATCTTTGAATCTGCATTCGCCTGGTCCATGTCCATGGCCAGCGCATCGGTAACACGGTTTACCGCGCTCCTCTTTCTTCACATTAGACCTTGCAATGGCGTTAGCTTTAAAAGTCTTTTGGGACCACTGTTGGGCATTGTGTTTTGTCACCTCATATGCCAGTCCCATATCATATGCTGCTGCCAGGGTTAATTCTTTCGTGTGCGCCACATTTAACAAGCGGTCACGTAGCTCAGCGCTTTTAACCCCGCACACAAATCTGTCTCTGAGAGCGTCTTCCAGAAACGTCCCGAACTTGCACGTGGCTGCTAGCTTCCTTAAGCTTGCCATGTACTCACATATAGACTCGTTTTCTTGCTGGCTTCTAGTGTTAAACTTGTATCGTTCGGCAATAACGTTGGTTTTGGGGACAAAGTGTGTGCGCATCAAGTCGATTAACTCTTCTAGTTTTTTCTCCCTCGGCTTAGCAGGTGCACACAGATCCATTAGCAGCGTGTGGTTCTTCTTGCCGACCACCGTCAAAAATACTGCTTTAGCTTTGTCATCCTCTAACTTGAGTCCATTTGCCACAAAGAACTGTTCTAACCTTTCCAAATAGGCATCAAAACATTCTTCATTTTCATCATAGTTAAGGTCTTCACCTTTTCCAAACGCCGACGCCATTCTCACTGCACGTGTCTCAACGGAGTTTTTTCTTTCGTTGCAAAAACAAACAAAAAACTCTTCTCATCCAGAGGAAGATCCCATCCTCGTCGCCAAATTCTGTTATGTACAGATAAAACAAAAAGATCTCCTCTGGTGAAAAACGACACGGGTTTCAAACGGCTTCATTTATTCTCTAGGAAACATCCAGAACACCAAGTAGCAACAACACCCAGGCAGGACTCACCAGTCCTTTCTTATTACTCACACAAGAGTGCCACCTATTGGTGAGGCGGTGACACTTCACTTTCTAATTACTTTGGGTGTCAAACACCACACATTCTAACTTAACCCTAATTCTATTCTGCTTTATTTTAAAAGCCTGTCATGTTTTTGAACTCCAATTATGAAACTGGCTCATTTTTACAGATGCTTTTTGCTCTGTCTCTATTGTACAAACACTCTTTTCTCGGCTCACAGTGTCCACCTCTTGAGCTTGCAATACCATATCCAGATAATAAAATAATAAAATAGCGCTTCTTGTAGCATCATGTCGTTCCTGTTCGGTTCAGCAGATGGCGCCAGCGCGCACGCGTCGCTCCCTCAGCAGAAGCTGCAGCACTTCCGGGATAAACAAGGGCATGTGTTTGGTAACATCTGTGAGGGACGTTGCTGGTCTCTGTCACTACGTGCTCGTATTTATCGTGTATTAAACCTACTGTACAAAGGTAAGACTCAAGAATTCAATTCAATGTATGTTTGTATAGCCCTAAATTCACCAACAGAGAAGAGAATAAAACAGGTCGAACACAGGAATGCAAGCACGTACACGAGCCATAAGTCCAGGGGTGTCCAAACTGAGGCCAGAGGACAAATGCGGCTCACTGTGTTATGTTCTGTGGTCCTCTCCCGTTAACATAAAGTCACTATGGAGGCATATTCAGCGTCATCCAGCCAACTTCAGCTCCTTCAATTCAGTTTTACAATCCATGTTGTTGGTCCCTGGACACGTCTGGTGAGCTAAAGTGGCCCTGTCACAAAAAAATTGGGAACCCCTGCATTAGCCCATAGGCAGCGAGATCAATGTCCAGAGATGCTAATAATTGTCCTTAGACCAGACATGGGAATAGTGCGGCCCGGGGACACATACGGCCCAGTTCTTGTTTCCATGTGGCCCTTAGACTTAAACTGTCCCCCCTTGGAGAACATAATTTCCCACCTCTGCATGGTCTGCACATTAACTGAAGTAAACAGTAGGGTAGGAGGACAGTGCAAATACATTATCCTTAAGGACACAGGATCTTATTACGGACAAGACATTATTCTCTGAATAGACAACCTCTCACATGAATGGTGAGCTCCCAGCACATCACTTACAATATTCAAATACAACAGACTATTGTCACAAAAAGCAGACATTATAGAGGAACATAAACCTCAGATGTAAATGACCAGAGTAAAAAGTGAAACAGATAATTATTGAAATAAATATCACAATACCTTGTACTGGATCCATTTAATTGCATGTGTGAAATATCGTAAACAGAATGTTTTTTCCCCCCACCATTACCCTGTATGCTTGTTTCCTGTAGGAGACGTTGTTATTGGCCGCAGTGCATCCTAATGGCGGCCCCTACGCACGTGTCCGCAGTGCGCGCGCTCTACAAAAGGATCCTGGTGCTGCACAGGTTCCTGCCCATCCACCTGCGAGCGCTCGGGGACCAGTATGTGAAGGACGAGTTCCGACGTCACAAGAGCGCGAGCCCACAGGAGGTCACGTGCTTCATGAAGGAGTGGCAGGTAACGTCACCACGAGCGGAGGCGACATTATTTTATTATTATTATTATTGTATCATGTAATTTTTCTGCTAGGGTCAGGGCTCATGATCTGTACTACTACAGCTACTACACCGCACATGTGTTGTACTACTACTAAACACATTTTATGTACTACTACTACTCACCTGTTATGTACTATTTTTTTTTTTTTTTAAATATCCTAGTCCGGAGTTGCCGAGTGAGGAAAAAAAAGCTATGCCTCACGGTTGACTCTGGACTGGTCTTATTGCCAGAGAATCCCGCCTCACTTCCCTTTAACAGGTGGATTTACAGGTGCAAGCTCCGAGGGATGTGACCCAGCACTACATGTTTTTCCCCTGCTCCCTCTTTGGTTGCGCTTGCTTCTTTCGACTCTTGCAGCAGTGCACCATTTTTAGGCCGAGATCAGTATCAAACAATCTCTGGCACTGGTCACACCAGAAGAGTGGCTCATGTTCTTTCATTGTTATGTACTACTACTACCACTACACCCATAAGTACTACTACTACACGCATGTTATCTAGTACTACTACTACTACTATTCACACATGTTATGTACTTCTACTATATGTTATGTACTGCTACTACTACACACACATTTTATGTACTACTACACACGTTATGTACAACGACTATACACATGTTATGTACCGCTACTACTACACACGTGATATGTACTACTATATGTGTAGTAGAGTTTAAAGCAAGAAATGGTAGCAGTAAAACGGATGGGAAAATAAATAGTAAACATTTGCTAAATGTTGCGGTAATATTTGGGACAATCCCTAACTCGTTGTAGACCAGTTATGTGGAGGATTAACTTTTAGTTGACAATGTTGATGGGATTCTAACGTTTGAAGTCAGAGACAGAAATGAGCTGGTAACCCCCTACGCTGAATACAATTTAAAACGACGTACATTTGAAGTGTCATTCAATTATCATTTTTGTATAGCCCTCAATCACAACAGAATTGTCTCGAAGGCAGTTTCATCAATTACAGATTAGAAATTCAAACAATTAGAACACTGTAAATGCAAAAATAAAACAAGCACATTACTGTAGTTGTAGCATTAACGTGTTAGGTATTGGTGAACCACCACCTCTCTTTGAGAACCACTGCATCCTGTCATTACATAATCCAAGTCAATTCTTCGAGCTCCACCTGAAACTGCCATTTTCCAAAGCACCTCTAAACACCACCTCAAGATGGCACTACTGCTGCATTGACAGAACCAAAACCCTTGTGGGCACGGTGGCTGAGTGGATAGCACTCTCGCCTCTCAGCAAAAAGGTCCTGGGTTCGAATCCCGGTCGGCGCAGGGCCTGTCTGAGTGGAGTTTGCATGTTCTCCGGTTTCTCCGGTTTCCCTTACCACTAAAAATTTGTACAATAGGTCTGGCATGCGCCTCCTGTTCGGCGACCCCGCTCCCATCTCTGTGTGGAGTGAGAGGACAAATGCCCAAAAAATAATAATTGTAAACCGCTTTGTGACTCTGGTCTGTGAAAGGCGGTATATAAATAAAGATTACTTACTTACAACAATCTCAAGTAAAATTATACAGGACTAATTGAGAACGAATGAGATTTCTGCTGTACATAATACATTCCCGTAAGTCCCCAACTTCAGAGCCCACAAACATTATCTGGAGTGATTTTTGTATTGAAACTCAGATATTGATGCTAAACTTAGTATTGAATAGTTATTTATGTCGCAGGTATCAATAAAAAAATACTGTGGTTGATCTACAGTCTGTCAGAAGTCATCTAAAACTCTGGGACTATAAAGTCAGCTTTGTATCAGTCGATGGAATTCATACTTCTTTTAAGGACCTGGTCGATCGGTACAGATTCAACAGTATGGTGTTAAGTTATACGTAAAGTGAAACGCTAGAGACATCACAAGGCAAAGTCACAGCTCTGATCTGTGGAGATGCAAGCTCGGTCACTAAGAATTCAGTGACTGGAGCAGCAAAAACCTGTTGTACACATTAAATACATACATACATAATTGAGGAACATTACAGCAAAGACAGAATATATGAGTTTTGGATGCACCCTTTTAAAGATTATAATTTGTCATATGTTTTAGAATGTGTAGAAAATATCTGGTGTAAGAAGTTGATGGTCTCTGCCTGCAAGGCGCTATGCTACCACCAGAGGGCGTTCATTCATTTATAGTCATGCGATTGTAAAGAACATCCTTTTTCTAAAGAATTGCTCAAACTAATGTATGTGCAATACTTTAGTTTTAAAAGACAGAAAACTGCTGAGTGATTTTGGACTGAAGAGTTGGATGGATCTAGACCTGGAGGGACTACATGAGGAACAATGTTGTAGCATGTATATATATGTATGTGTATGTATATATTATATCTATATACGTTATCTATACGTTACATATACAAGTATATAAGCAGAGCAGCCCCAGACTTCTCTATCCACACACTTCCTCCAGCTCATCCGGGGTAATCCCAAGGTGTTCCCAGGTCAGATGAGTGCTAGTCCCTCCAACGTGTCCTGGGTCTTCCCCGGGGTCTCCTCCCAATGGGACGTGCCCGGAACACCTCCCCAGTGTGGTGTCCAAGAGGCATCTTGAATAGAAGCCCGAGCCACCTTTACTGGCTCCTCTCTACGTGGAGAAGCAGCGGCTCTACTCCGAGCTCCTCCTATGTGACTCAGCTCCTCACTCTAACCCAGCCACTCTGTGGTTGAAACTCATGCGGACTGCTTGTATCAGTGATCTCGTCCTTTTCGGTCATTACCCATAGCTCATGACCAGAGGTGAGGGAGCAGACGTAGACTGAACGGTAAATGGAGAGCAGAGCGGCCCGATACAGCTCTGACATCAGACGCTGCTCCCTCTTTGCACCGATCTATCGATGCAGACATTTCCTCCTGCCCTCTCAAGGATCTCAAGACCCAGAGATACTTTAACTCCTCCACTTGAGGATGGACCTCTGCAGGAATATTTACAAAGATGCTGTTGTCAGGGAGATACAATGCTCAGGATGCATAGAAGTGACATGTTTTATGAATCAGTACAGTTATGTTCTTTGAATCATCTCCAGTAATCACACACCACCCTTAGTGTTTTTTCACATCTACATTATGCACCTTTACCACGGTTTATTTTTGAGTCCCTTTAGATCGAACAATTTAACCCAAAGCTTTTTATATGATTCGTATCAATGTGCATAAGAACAGAGACCACTTCAGATATTTATGACCCATGCTTAAAGGTATATAGAAGGATGGTCTACTTCTGGGTGGATCCTCAAGACTATTAGTCCTCCCAATCGTCCATCATTCTGGTGATACGTGCTCGTCAAATAAGACCAGAGATGTTGTTCAAAAAATGCAAAGGGCGGTTCTTTCCTAAAATTTGTGAAAATCCGCCTGCTAGTAACACAATGGGTTAGATCTAATGTGTTCCTCAGATATTAATTAGCAGCATTACAGATATGACATATGTCCGCAGTGCAAAATATACAGGTCAGATTCCACAAATGTGGCCAGGGAACCATTATCTGCCTTCACCAGTGTCTGCACAGCAATCACAAACACTGATTTCAATGTCTCTATTGGGGAAAAGCAATGTTTGCCCGGACAATTAAGTGCTGAAAGGAGGAGGAAAAGGACCCATCTGCAGGTAATTCTTCTAATCAGGCAGATGAGATGGATGCTGCGTCCTGGGGGCCCTTTGTCAGCCCTGAACGTGTGAAGTCAGGGGGGAGATTGGAGCTGTTTCATTATGCCTCTCATTTCATTATGGCTATGTATTGTCAGTAAACACGAGCTGACGCTTCATGCACCAGTGGATCATCGTCATTTTGCCCTCATGTCAAATGGAAGGATCGTGATACTGGACCTGCTTCATCTGTGGGTTGACCCAGGCGGACCTTTATTCTGGCAGTCTGTCCCAGGGCAGCTGTGACTGTCTGTGAAAAGGGCTAAGTAGGTTGTAATGTACCTCGCCATATTGCAAAACCCAAATTGTGTTGAATAATAGGCAAGTGTCCCTTTTTAAAGAAACAAAGTGTGTAAATCAATGAAAGATGACCAAACAAGACTAAACAGAACAAACCCAGAATAGTTTAAAAACATTCTCACTGAATTATGGAAACTTAAAAATGATAAACTGAAAGTCTCAACAGGAGCTGTAGAGACTTTGTTCATCAGTTATTAGACCACAATGACTTTTATCTAACTAATCTACTCATAGTTGTTCTGTAATTACATGTAATTATGCATTACATGTAAGTCGGAGCTTTACCATGGATCTATTATAATAGTTTTACAAACGCAATGAGAAGAGTTGCATGGAGGATAAACGTCTGCGGGAGCTTAAAACTACGATGATCAAAGAAGTAGGACAAGGCTAAAAGCTCATGTTAGGGCGCTGTGGCGCTAATGCTATCTGCATCACAGTAAGAAAACGTGATAAGTATTCTGACGATTGTTTTGTGGGGATTCTGTGTGTTTTATTTGAGGCTTGTCCCTGAATAAGTTTAGTTGAAACTCGTGACAGTAGTTGGACTGCGCTTGGATCGGGTCAGAACATCCTGAGACTGTGTTGCAGATTCTTCCTCGTTCTCATTATTGTCAGTGTGAAAAAAGTTATGTATTGTGTGAGTCTGTTGTGTACAAACTACACAATGTGCCTCCTGTTGTGTTAACGCTGTGTGCATGTGGTTTGTGATGTTGACACTTTTCTGCCATGACGCTGGACTTCTGCATAATTATTTTTCTAAAAGATTGTTCGGATTGTTCTTTTACATAACTGGTCCTTCGTGGTTCTTTTACATAACTGGTCCTCCATGGTTCTTTTATATAACTGTGGTCCTTCGTGGTTCTTTTACATACCTGTGGTCCTCCATGGTTCTTTTATATAACTGTGGTCCTCCATGGTTCTATTATATAACTGTGGTCCTCCATGGTTCTTTTACATAACTGTGGTCCTCCATGGTTCTTTTATATAACTGTGGTCCTCCATGGTTCTATTATATAACTGTGGTCCTCCATGGTTCTTTTACATAACTGTGGTCCTCCATGGTTCTATTATATAACTGTGGTCCTCCATGGTTCTTTTACATAACTGTGGTCCTCCATGGTTCTTTTACATAACTGTGGTCCTCCATGGTTCTTTCATATAACTGTTGTCCTTCATGGTTCTTTTATATAACTGTGGTCCTCCATGGTTCTTTTATATAACTGTTGTCCTCCATGGTTCTTTTACACTGCAAAAAGTCCCTTGCTAGAAACAAGAAAAAAAAAACACAAAAGACGACAATTTTGCTTATTTTAAGCAAAAAAATCTGCCAATGGGGTAAGAATTTTTTCCTTGCCTAGAATTCTTGTTTTAAGATTTTTTTCCTAATGTGTCCTGGGGAAAAAAACAAGAATATATTTCTTGATTTAAGCAATTTTTTTCCAATAAAAAGGTCAGATTTAAGCAAAATAATCTCATTATGGGATAATTTTAGGAAATAATGCTCAAATCCATTTCAAATTGAGGATACATTTGCTTGTTTTCTGTTCTTTTTAGCAGACTTTTTCTATTTCTAGTCTAGTTTTAAGCAAAATGGGCTTAATAAGCAAAATAATCTAAGCAAAATATTCTTGATAAATGTACAATTTATAGAACTTTTTTCTTGTTTTTTGTAATTAGTATATAATTTACTCAAAATGCATACAAAATAGTGTCTTGAAACAAAATTCTCTTTACATTGTATTTATTAACCAATCTGAACATGCATGGTAGAAATCAGTGATGTACATTCATTTAGTGAAGGTAAAAAGTACCAAACTGAGAAATTATCAAGCTGCAATCCAAAACATTGCAGTAATGAACTTACAACAATATAAAGAAAATTACAAATTCACTCACTCAGTAAATGATTTCCACTCTACCATGGCTCGTTTGTATGAAGATGTGGCATCTCTGTCATGGATGGAATCTTCAAGAACTTCAGTTTGAAGAACTGAGAGCAGTGTGGAAATGCACTTTGGATAAGTGAGGTGCAAGGTGTAATAATAAGCCAACAGGTACACAAGTCCTTCATTTAGCTTTGCACTTGGAAAGGTGGTCACTGGCGTGTTGTCGATTGCAATCATGCAGTTATCCATGCCCATGAGCAGAACAGGCGAGAACAGTGTCCGTTGTTGAAGATAACGTTCAGGGTCCTCTGCTGCCTATTCAAAAAATGCAACTTTGTTAGAGCACTAAAACACACAAACACATTAAAAAAATTAAAATACACACCTTGAGAACATGGAAAAGGCTTCACTGCAGGCTCCCAACTTTTTGGGTGGTGGCGCACCTGATGGAAAAAGGTCCGGAAGCGCAGCAAAGACTGCCAGAGCATGGTCCTCTGGTTTTAAAACAATAACATACCAATTTTTAATGATACTACCGTAATAAAAATATTAAAATTATGTTACTGCATAATGTTAATACTGTATTCTCACCAATATTCAGAGTCTTTGGGGGCTTCATGGCCTTTTTCATAACCCCATAGAACTTAACTTTTGAGAAAAAGTTTTCCCATCTGCTTAAAGTCTCTGCGATGTAGTTTGAGTTTTTTGGTTGGATTATCCTCTGCATCTCATCCAGTACCTGGGAAATGTAAATGTCCTTTATATAAACTGTAGTTTATGTCTTAGGTTCTTATGGAAAGAAGACTATTGGCTTGATTGTAATTACCCTGTTAACATTTTGGCTGCAGAGCTATGAGACATCTTCAGAACTGAAGATACCTTGCAGCCAAAACGTTAACAAGGTGATTACATCTCAACCAATAGTCTTCTTTCCATAAGAACCTCAGTGAAAAAACATCTAAAAACACATCAATAAAAATTGGTCTAAAATACAGTAGTACTTACATGATCCAACTCCTTGAAACACGGATAAGCCTCAATAACTTTAGCTGCTCTGTCTTGCTCCTTCAGAACTTCAGATGTGATGAAACGTCTTCTGGATTCAAATTCCAAATTCAGCAAATGAGTCACCGCTGCTTTGTTTGGTTTTTGGCCTTGTACATGTTTTGCAGGGCCTTATAGTGTCTTGCTTGGCTCTTTGGTGTGTCCAGTTGATCAGCAGAACCCACTAAAAGTTACATAGATTTGTATTTACATTAAACATGTATTGATAAAACAATATATATACAAGTTAATAAAAACAGTGTGAACCTGCATCCTCCTCACTGGTGTCCAAATTAGGCTGAGGGGTGCTGCTTGCAGCAGGAGACCTTTCAATAATGATGGTGGATGCTTGGCTTGATCCTGTTGAGTATCCTTCAAAATCATCCGAGAGAAACTGCTCACTGGTCATGCGACGTTTTCTGGATGGTGTTCCAGCTGTTTTAGGGATTTTGATATTTGATAGTCTTTTCATAAGTTTCTTGGCAATATGTCCCTGCAAGAAAGAAAAGACGTTTATGTGAATAAATCCTTAAAATAAATAATGAATGATAAAAAACACAAAAATATGTACTTACCCATTCATCGCCAGATGTTCCTTTTAACATTGGATAATACTCAACTAATCTTTTAGCCATAGTATCAACCTCATGTTTGGAAGGGTACCTAGAGTCTTGTAGAGCTCTTGCAATTGAAATCATATTTGTCATGGTGTTCCTTATTAGTCGGCAGAAGAGCTCTTTGGACATATCAGCAGTGGTGGGGCCAAGACGTTTTTGTTCAAAGTAGTATGAACGGACCTGCTCAAGTTCACCATCTGTGTACACAATGTATTCTGGAGTTGAGATGGTCAAAAACTTTGAAGTGTTGGGGTTCTCTTCTGGAAGTGCACTGGCTGATGTTGTTGAAAGTTTTGATGTCTCCAATTTTTTCCCAGCAGCCTCCACCTGCACATTGATAAACGCATTACAATGCATATTATGTTCACTTAAACCAGGTCCATAACTGTTGTTGTGTAATATTTTATCTTCTACATACAGAGAGCTGATTGAGGGACCCTATTTTTCACTGAAAAAGCTGGTGGTCAAACACACATGCATGTGGAAACTAATGAGTGAGAAAAGTACTTTATCTTATATTATAACTTGGTCAAACAAACACAAACATTTGGTTTTAAAAACATACTTACACTTTCATCTTTACTCACAAGAAGCCATAATGCTCGGCGTCTAAGAAAGTTTTCAGGACCTGGCATCAGATCTTTAATGTCATCTCTGGAGAGAGACCAGAGTAAATCCTCCTCGATATTAGCAGCTAAAACATAAATGTTCACATTTTAATAATACCATATGTCCATTTGTACGTATAATACCCCTACTCTAATACTAGACTTGTGTAAATATTATATCTATAACTTTTTACAAATTAATACATTCTTGAGAACATACACATTTTGCCAGTTAGCAAACTCGGCGCAACTTAGCTTTAGCTTGCTAGCTTATCCCTCAAATTACAAACACTACACAAATGCTGCTCCTTGAAAGTTCCACATGATTCCCAGATATATCTACCTCTTAGAGTTTCAACTGTAACTTCGTCGAGTGTATCCATTACTTGCGTAATAATTATTCACAGGGTTATTTTTAATATTATTACTCGCTCCCGTTGACGAGCTTCCTCTCGGACCGTTAAAAGACGCGGCGCACCCTTGAGTTTTGAACATAGAACCGCCGCTCAGTGGACTAGTCCATTATGTGAGCAACGGGGGGGACCAGATATTAGCAGCTAAAACAGCAATTGTTTTAGCAGCAATCGTAAATAAACCATATTACAACAATTAATAATATGGTTTAGCAAAAAAGTATATTAAAAATAAAATATATTATTTTTTATATCTTACCACCCCCACATTTTGAATTATTTGTCAGGCCCCGTGAAGGGCATTTGCGCGGGTGCTACTTCCCGAAAGAAAACAAACCTGTGTCTGCCGTACTGTTAGCAACATGATTTGGCGGTGCGTAATTTGCTTCGTGTTTGTTGGACTTACCCTTAAATCCCTTCTCAGTCACATAAACTCCGCTCATAGCCGAAGTCCGGACTTTCGAATCGTATGTGGAATTGATGGCTGTGATAAAGAATATCGCGTGTATAACTCACTTTGGTACCACATTCGGAGAAGCCACTCGGTGCATCTTAGTTGCAGCTCTACTTCCTCTCTCCCGTGGAGAAATACAGCACCAGCGAATCGGAACCATGGATCTATAGATCGGAACCCATGGGCCTTCATACCACCGGAGCAGATGCACAGGCGAGAGCAACCAGCAGGTGCTGGCGCAGGCCAGGGATCTCAGAGGCCAGAGCCTCAAAATGAACACCGCACTGTGAGTCCAGCAACACAGACGGCGCGCTTACAACCAGATGAGATGCTTTTGGATCATTTTGGAGACTTCAACAATGCGTCGCTGTTTGATGGCTTTGAACAACGCGACCCTGTTGTTTCCCCACCTCGAGACTCGCCGCCCCACGCTCGTACCAGGACCAACGAAGCTGTAACTTTACCGGATCCGCTCATGGAGCCTTTGGACAGTGCTTCTGCGTCTTGCTGTCGGGTAACTACCGTTTTATTACTTTTATGAAATATGTTATTATCATACAGATGACTCTTTTATTAAGATTGTTGTGACTAGGTTACAATGAGCTGTGTGCAGAACTAACTCAACAACATGTTATCAAGGACTAACCAGTTATAACCAGTCGTTTCTTTGAAGTACTAATTAAATATACTTAATCTAAAAATCTAACTTTCATAATTTAATAACGTTCTATTGTTTTTGGAATAAAATCTAAATTAATAATGTTTTATCAGAGCTCCAGTGTTTCCCACACATAGACTAATCTGTGGCGCACCGCCACAGATTAGAGACCGCCCGCCACAAATTGCGTTTCGTATTATTATATATATTTTTTTTTTGTTACGCTATTTAAAACATGCATCGTCTAGTGCCGCCGCAGCGGTCAATTTGACAGCGGGGAGGGGGGTTTAAAATGTGGCGGCCCTTCGTAACTCTCACTCAAGCTACGCGTCTCTCCCACATACAGAGACCTACACACACACAGCCCCTCCCCCTTTTCAAAATGTTTGAAATTTTGCACATAAATCTGTTTTGCCCTCTTGATTCAAAAAGTCAATAGGGTCCAAGGCTTATTTTTTACCCTGTTGCCGTGGCGACGAGAAACGCTCCCCATTCATTGCAAATGTACACCTCACACAAACATCAAACCAGCCTCGGCCGTTTCACCGATTCGCCTCAAAATCGCTCCACATCATATCAATATATGTACCAACAAAATGACTTCAGGGAATTTTGATCAGTGAAACGTTGTTCGAGCAGCAGAGCGCCAAAAAGTGGCGTATTTTTTTTCAGTTTTTGACAATAGAAAAATTGTTTCTATTTGCACAAACAAAGTCTCATTTGCACAAAACTTGAATCCATGGTTCAACTCTTGGGCCTAGGTCCTTTGAAAGTTAAAATTTTGAAATTGGCTCTATAGCGCCACCTACAACAGCCAATTTAAAAATGCCTATGGGAGGGGTTCGAGGTCAAAATTGTCATAAAACCATGTAATTTGGAACACATGTTCCTCAAGTCAAAACATTGAATTTTTTTTATTATGGCTAAGCCTTCTGACAAACAGGAAGCCCATAAATTTCACTGCAAAATGGAAAAATGAAAAATAATCATTTTCATACATGTCGGTTGGAAAGCGACTCCTCCTCGGCCGTTTCACCGATTCGCCTCAAAATTGCTCCACATCATCTCAACACATGTACCTTCAAAATGACCTCAGGGATTTTTGATCAGTGAAACATTGTTTGAGCAGCGGAGTGGCAAAATGTGACCTTTTTTTGGCCGTTTTTGACAACATTAAATTTGCTCCCGTTTGCACAAACAAAGTCTGATTTGCACAAAACTTGAATACATTGTTCACCTCTAGGGTTTAGGTCATTTGAAAGTTAAATGATTCCAGTTGACTCATTAGCGCCCCCTACAGACTATTTCAAAGTTTTAGATGGGCATTTTCAAATTTAGTTTTTTCAAAATGTTTGAAATTTTGCACATACATCTGTTTTGCCCTCTTGATTCAAAAAGTCAAAAGGGTCCAAGGCTTATTTTTTACCCTATTGCCGTGGCAACGACAAACGCTCCCCATTCATTGTAAATGTACACCTCACACAAACATCAAACCAGCCTCAACCGTATCACCGATTCGCCTCAAAATCGCTCCACATTATCTCAACACATGTACCATCAAAATGACTTCAGGGAATTTTGATCAGTGAAACGTTGTTTGAGCAGCAGAGCGCCAAAAAGTGGCGTAATTTTTTTCCGTTTTTGACAATATAAAATTTGCTTCCGTTTGCACAAACAAAGTCTGATTTGCACAAAACCTGAATCCATGGTTCAACTCTTGGGTCTAGGTCATTTGAAAGTAAAAATGTTGAAATTGGCTCTATAGCGCCACCTACAACAGCCAATTTAAAAATGCCTATGGGAGGGGTTTGAGGTCAAAATTGTCGTAGAGCCATGTAATTTGGTACACATATTCCTCAAGTCAAGACATGGAAAAAATGTTATTATGGCTAAGCCCTCTGACAAACAGGAAGCCCATAAATTTCATTGCAAAATGGAAAAATTAAAACCAATCATTTTCATACATGTCGGTTGGAAAGCGACTCCTCCTCGACCGTTTCACCGATTGGCCTCAAAATTGCTCCAAATTATCTCAACACATTTATCTTCAAAATGACCTCAGGGAATTGTGATCAGTGAAACGTTGTTTGAGCAGCGGAGCGGCAAAATGGAAAGTTTTTTTCTGCCGTTTTTGACAACATTAATTTTTTTCCCGTTTGCACATACAAAGTCTGATTTGCATCAAACTTGAACCCATTGTTCAACTCCAGGGTTTAGGTCAGGTGAAAGTGAAATATTTTAAATTGGCCCATTAGCGCCCCCTAAAGACCTAGTCAAAATTTACATGGGGAGCCAAACCAGCTCTACTTATCATATTCATTACAATTTGACTAACAATCTTCTGTGGCTACGGAAACAAATCATCACACGGCGGCGCCAACTCCTTTAAGCGGTGCTGCAAGGTACGGTGTGGTGCGGCGTAGTGCGGGGCGTTGTGGAGCGGCGCGTTGTGGCTTGGTGCGGGGCGGCGTGATGGGGGACGGCGTGGTGCAGGGCGGCGTGGTGCGGGGTGGCTTGTCACGGGGTGGTGCGCGTGCGGGGGAGTCGCGCGGTGCGGCGAGGGCCGTTCGACGCCGCTTGCGGCTTTAATTTATTTCTTTCTTTCTTTCTTTCTTTCTTCTTCTGCACTTTGAGCCTTAATTTGACCCCCTGAATATGCATGAAAAGTTGTTAATTTTGGCCCAAAAATCAGACCTGGCGAAAAATTTCATATTTTGGTGTTTATTTTTATGGGACTCAAAAAATGACAGAACAGCGCCACCTACAACAGCCAAAATAATACCCCTATGGGACTTTTCGGAGGTCAAGTTTGTCGTAGAAACATGATATTTGGTACACATGTTCCTCAAGTCAAGACAAGAAAAAAATATTATTATGGCCCCGCCCTCTGACAAACAGGAAGCCCATAAATTTCACTGCAAAATGGAAAAATGAACAGCAAAAGTTTTCATACATGTCGGTTGGAAAGCGACTCCTCCTCGGCCGTTTCACCGATTCGCTTCAAAATTGCTCCACATCATCTCAACACATGTACCTTCAAAATGACCTCAGGGATTTTTGATCAGTGAAACATTGTTCGAGCAGCGGAGCGGCAAAATGTGACATTTTTTTGGCCGTTTTTGACAACATTAAATTTGCTCCCGTTTGCACAAACAAAGTCTGATTTGCACAAAACTTTAATACATTGTTCAACTCTAGGGTCTAGGTCGTTTGAAGGTGAATTAATTCAAATTGACACATTAGCGCCCCCTACAGACTATTTCAAAGTTTTAGATGGGCATTTTCAAATTTAGTTTTTTCAAAATGTTTGAAATTTTGCACATAAATCTGTTTTGCCCTCTTGATTCAAAAAGTCAATTGGGTCCAAGGCTTATTTTTTACCCTGTAGCCGTGGCGACGAGAAACGCTCCCCATTCATTGCAAATGTACACCTCACACAAACATCAAACCAGCCTCGGCCGTTTCATTGATTTGCCTCAAAATCGCTCCACATCATCTCAAC